ACCAGGAAGCATAGGAACTGAGAAGTGGTCTGTGGTCACCACCTGCAGAATCACTCCTTTATTGGGGGTGTCTTGCTAATTGCCTATAATTTCCACCTGTTGTCTATTCCATTTGCACAACAGCATGTGAAATTGATTGTCAATCAGTGTTGCTTCCTAAGTGGACAGTTTGATTTCAAAGGAGTGTGATTGACTTGGAGTTACATTGTGTTGTTTAAGTGTTCCCTTTATTTTTTTGAGCAGTGTATATTGTTTTGATAATGTCATTTAGAATAATCACCTTGTTATGCAATAAAAAGCCCATGTCATGGAAAAATGGACTGTATGTAACAGTGTAACTAACCAAATGAGTCTTCACTGTGGCTTAACACACTGAGTACTAGCATTTTCAGTTAGCCACCTAGCTGAAGCTATCTTTCTTAAAAAACACACCAGCCACTTAATGGTAATCATCCATTTTACCAGGGAAGCTAACACGAAATTACAATCACAATTAAAACATACTAAACAAACAAGACACAGTACAAAACTACACACAGCTTACACACAAATGTATAAAACTATAAAATGAAGAGACCATGCATTATAAAAAAAAACTTCTGTTTAAAGCATTTAGCAATTTAGCTATTAATATTTCTTTCCTAGTACACTGTGAACCAAGAAAATGATTTGCATTGTTCAAAGCACAATGACTAAATCTACCCCAGAGCTACTCGAAGTTGGACTGTCACAAATTATATTATTTTGAACTTCTAAAATAATCTAAGCCTTTAAACACACAAAAAAGTACTCTGCTGCTGCCTGGTTTTCATCAAGACCCATCAAGCATGAAAAGCTCTCTTCCCAGCCTTTTCCCTCCAGGCTGGCACAGGAAAACAATTCTAATTTATCTAGTAAGCATATTTTATAATACTATTTTTTATTCATGTGGCACATCTTAATATATCTTTTCCTAAAATGTATCTGACTTGGACAGTGGGGAGAGGAAAAAAAGTTAATGTCAGGCAAAGCATTTTTAAAAGTATATGTTGAATATGTTTTCCCATTAATTTGGGCTCCGGAGAATCAGTTTGTTCCTAATATGAAACATGAAAAATGAAGAGGAAAAAAAGTTAAAGCCAATTTGCATAGTATACACACAAAAAAATCCCCTCAAGCATGAAAATCAGCTTGAGAATGAGCCATTAGAGTGCGTCACACAGTTTTTAGAAAGTCTCAACCATAAGCAAATATGGAAATATTCCACTGAATTCAAATTAGAGCCAGTGCACAGTTTCATCTTCTTAATAAGGCAGCATGGCCCCTTGTGTGCGTGTGAATATAGAACGGGACCTTGATTTAAACCCAGCATAAACCTGAGCTCCAAAGTCATTTTGATTCCAATTTGTGGAGCTATCCCTGAGCCATGTGGCTTAATGCCTTATATTTAAAAATGTAACAGAGTTTAAGACCTGTAAACGGCACTGCTTAGAGTGTTTTTATCTGAGGAAGCAGGAGCTGCTGCCATGTTGCATCACACAGCCTCAGTGGGAAATGTGTTTTTCACGCCTGTTTTCCTCTCTACCACATTTGAGTGTTTGCCCTCGCAGACACTGACCAACAAACCACAGAGAGCTTGATTACAGCTTTAAATGAGACAAAGTGAGTTACTGTTTAGGAAAAAAGAGTATCCCAGTATCTAAATAGCTGAGTTATAAGGCCGCCATTTGACCTGGTCACATCATCAGTCTAAATCCTGTTGGCAGGACCAACACTAATTGTATAGCTGAAAGGTACTTGTTATCACGCTCTCTCTCTTTCTGACCACTCTCCTCTCTCGCCCTCCCTCTTCTTCTCCACTCTTTCATGACTAGCTAATGAATGCAGATGGTGCTCTGGGGGATGCAGTGGTCTTATTACAGAGGTTATGTGTGCGCATTGTAAGCTCAGTCAGGCTCGTATTCCAGTCAGACCATGGTGAAAGGTTCAATTGCTTTGGCAAAGACCCCTCCCCCTCCAAGAAGGGCTAAAGAGGTTTGTTTATTGGCCCCACCTTGACTTGACCTCCGTAGCTCAGGGACAGGCTGCGTGATTACCTAAGTGTCAGTGCTGCCCGAGGAGAATGGACCAAGCTACTCGTGTTGGCCCCCTTTTTCTCTCCTAATAAATCACAGGAATAAACGCACAAACCACAAGAGCGGGACAAATGCAAAACCAAAGAGACATCTATGTAAGCCCAAAGATTAAATGGTTTATCCAACATGTTTCCAGTCAAACAAGGGGGATTTACTACTCTACTGTCAGTCTACAATCATCAGATATATTCAGAAAATATTGAATGTATTGATTAGAAAGTAAACGTGTGATTCCCCATGAATGCTGTGGAGTTGCAGAGGCCAAAAATAATATAATAGATGGCCACTGGCCACATGGTATGATTGTTGGAACACCTCAAACCAAAACAATTCATATGCTGCTATAACAGCCTCCTCTGAGAAGGCTTTCCACAAGATTTTGGAGCCTGGCTGCAGGGATTTGCTCTCATTCAGCCACAACAGCATTGCTGGCCACTGATGTTAGGCCTAGCTCGCAGTCGGCATTCCAGTTCATCTCAAAGGTGCTGGATGGGGTTGAGGTTAGGGATCTGTGCAAGCCAGTCAAGTTCTTCCACACTAAACTCAGAAAACTACTTCTTTATAGACATCACTTTGTGCACGGGGGCGTTGTCATGTTGAAACAGAACAAAATATCACTGTCTGCCATAGCATTTCTCTTAATGTGAACTAAAGCGTGGACAGGGGTGTCCACTTACTTTATGGTACATTTTACGTCACTGTTCTTGATTGTACTCATGAAGACAAAAGTCAGAGAAGATAATTTTAACTGACAATAAAGATGCTGAGCATAATATACATATTGCATCCCACATCCATAGTTTCCAAAGTAACATCCAAAGTTTACATCAGCAGCAGCTTTGTCGGTAATACAACAGTAAAGTATTAGTAACATTTCTTGAGCATGTGAACATGTGAAGTTTAGTATGTCCGTGCTTCTGCTTTGCATGTTTCAGTTACTGTGTAACAATACAGCACAATGTTGACATATTTAGTCCATATATCTATTAACATCCTTCACTACACAGTTTTGTATTATGTGTGTCTGTGTTGCATTTTTTTAATAGTACCTGACAATGTAGTATAATGGTGTCCTGGATTATGTTTTTATTAACATTAATGGTCTCTTTTCTTTTAATATTGTTCTGCATGCTTCTCCATTACTTTGTCAATTTAATCTTATATTCTGTTTTTAGGGTGACTTTGTAACATCTGTCCAGGGACTGCGTTTTGGCCAACTCCGGTGCATTAACAGCAATGTGCGCTGTCCCTGTTAAATAATCCAATACATAAATAAAAAAATAAATATACAGTGCATACTAATTGCATATAGTGTGGATGGGACACAGCAGCAGAAAATTTAAAGTGGTGTTTCCCTACTCAGTTCAATCAATTTTTAAAAATGGAACAATATACCCTAACTCATACACCATTCAGTTACCTCCTATGTCCCATAGTCTCTCCAATGATTTATCTGAAATGAAGCTATTAAATGGTAAAATTATTCAGCAGCTGGTGAAGTCAAAACTTGGCTGAGAGAGAGTTAATTCTGCTGACATAGACTTTTCTTCTTCCATCTTCAACTTGATTTTAAACAAAACCTCATCAAGGCACACTTTATGACCCATTTTGTTTCATATAATGTAAATCCTCTCCTAGTTTAGTCCATCCTGTCATGGCCCTGGATTTTTGATGCCCTATCAAAATCTTTTCCTGGTCATGTTTTTGTTTCCAGCTAACATGGAGCCGTTTCCCTCCAGCCTTTTTGTGCTGTTTGTCCTACAGTGGAATAAGGCTCATTATTTCAATGTGTAGTCACAGTTTCTACAGATACGCCCAGGGATCAGGCCATCTCTCCATTAAGGGAAATCTCTTTGAAAGGTATTGTCCCCTGCCGCACACACACAAACGCACACACTTACTGCATTGGTGTTACTTTTTCCATGTCATGTTTGACTGCTAAACTGCCGAATTCCCAGGATTTTAGTACATCTTTGCCTTGCTGGTGAGCAGAGAAACCAAGAAAGCTCTACTAATTACCAGTTTCTTTTAAAAATGATGATGAACTGTGGGCAGCACTTGCAACTGACCTGGACTGTAAAGAACTAGTTGTGATTTGCTGTGACTGCTGCTCCCATTTATTCAGAACGCAGTCAGTGAGTGAACTCCACTCTAATCGAATCACACATAATGTGTTATAATTTACTGATACATTACAAGTTGTATCATGTTTGTTATGATTCATCTTACTGTCTTTTATTGTGATCATTTATCGTTCAGAGCCTAAAATGCCATATATTTGTTTGTTTAAATAAAACATTCTCTAAGAGCAGTAAACAGGAACATAAAGTGTTTTATGACTCCACATACATGGCTGATGACTTAGGGTTTGTTGGTTTAAATCCCTGGGAAACTTAAGTCATGAATTAAATGTATGTATCCTGGGACACTAAAAAAGTAATGCTCCGTCTTCCCCTCAACAATAGCCATTTAAGTCTATTCAACAAGACACTTAGATAATAATTCCAGTGTACTGTATGTGTAATTATTCATGTATTTCTTTGTTTTTCTTCAGAGTGCCATTAATGCCCATTAAATATCTTTCCTGCTGGTGTATTTTGCCACAGTCTGACGCTGCTGCTGTCTGTTCTCTTTCCTTCCTGGAAATCAAAAGCTGCCATTATATTCCAAAATACATTAAAAACTGTTTTTCTCGATCAGACTTAGACTTTTCATGGGCAATGACTGTAATAGGGAAAATACGGATTAATAAAATTACACCAGTACTTTTCTGTAATCCTCAGCTTTTCCAGCGGAGCTGTTGACTAGCCAGTAGTAGCAGACTTTTGTTGTTCTGGGCAAGATGCCCTAGAAAAATAACAATGAGGGACACATGCAGTGTTGTACCTATGTGGCTTCTGTGTGACGACGCGCTGGTCAGTTGTCCCCAGAGAGACACCATACAGACGGTCAGCAGCAGCACCCTTCTGCACATGCTCTGTAGGTCCCTCTCCCGCATTCTGGAAAAAATAAGACAAAAAATCATCAGTGGTCAACCGTATTTGCATTACATAAACACTCAGATGTGCAGGCAGGCTCACTTGGGCTCATGCCAACAAGCTCCAAAAGCTTTGGCTTGGCAGTCAGAGGTGGTCAATTAGAGTAACTCCTGAAATCACAAAGCTTGGATCTACAGAGCTTTAACTGGATGCTTTTGCTGTGCTAGGGATAAGCCTTCTGAGGGCCACACACAAAGTTCCCCAATATGGCTCCATACTGCCAATTCAAATAAGTACATATCAACACACATCAACAACAGCCTTCTAGTAAGGCCCGATCACATGCAATCGCAGTGTGGATTTGCTCACAGCGGTGAAGTAAATCTGCTTTGGTGAACTTTGACATGCACATTAGTGCCGTTGAAAAAGAAAGTCGTCTTGACATTACATTTGGGAACATAGGGCAGAGTCCAAAAGAGGCTATTGTAGTTTATTAGCTACACAATCCAGCTACTGTTCCAGAAAAGAGGAATTATTTGACAGTTATGAGATGGGAGTTGATGATACAAATATGTCTTAACTGCAATAACTTATTATCCCATTAGCAACTGAGCTAACAAGCTTGCTAGTTGTCAGTTAGCAAGACTCTTCCCTCCTCAACAACTCTTTATTGAAAGAAACAATGTACAGTCTTGAGAACAAAATGCCAGGGGGGAGTAAACGTCACAGTATAAACAAAACAGAAAGAAGCTTACGGATCTATTGTGACTGAACAGAGCTAGCATGTTCCCAGAGCTGCCAACTTTCAACATCCAGCTGGAGTGTATATCTTTTTGTTTTGTTCTTTGGTGGGGGTGGGTTTAAGATGTAACATGTTAGTGGAGGTAAGCCTATGTCAGACAAGATACATGTCTCTGCATACCTCACTGTGGACTATTTCTTCAGTAGAAAACATGCCCATGAAAATTGTCGACAGTTAATTCTGTGGATTATCACTTTCATTGTATTCAACACTGGTTCTGGAAAGATATGTGGAATTTTAAATGCTTTATTTAAATCCTGTGAACGCCACAAATTAAATTCCATTCACCCACAAAACCTGGACAAAAAAGCCCCCAAGCTATCTGCATGGACAGATGCCACTACAGTCGATTGAGAAAATAGTAATTTTAATAGTAATCTTGGTGAACTGACACTTTAAAAGTCTGGGAGAAGAGAGGCTGAGGTGTATTTGAGTGGGAAAAAGTTAATCTCCTTGAAATAGGCTATTAAGTATCACAACACAATCTTTCCCCAAATATTAATATACCCCAAATATACTGTCTGTGCTGCTGATAAAAATAGTTTGTTAGTTGAATTTATGATTTTCTAAAGACTGAAATTCCTGTCCATGTGTAGGTTTATCAGACTACCGTAATTTATGGTACCAGAATAAGTGCCATATTTTGTTAATTATTTAAATGATTACAGATGCCATGTCCTGTTTAAGGGAAAGCATACATGCACAAAATAATGGAAAAACTGCAAATACAGTGAGACTTTGTATTTAAGCATCAAAAACAAAAATTCCATATAAAAATAAACTTGAGAGGACAGAAAAAATATTTTTGACTTTCCAGAGTTTACATAAAGCTCAGAACTACTGTATGTTACAAATGATTGTAGCCAATAAACTTGGAATCTGTGTGTGACAGCTTACCTGTCTGAGGTGTAGAAAAGCATAGGAGGTCAATTGGATCTGTTAGACCCTGACCGATACTGTCGCCTTGTCAGGGATGATAAACAGTCTTGAATAATTAATATATTTACCACTGCTGTGCCACATGAGTAAATCCACACAGTATCTCTCTCAGTTTGGAGTTGTTCCTGCTGTTTTGTCATGCCTGATGGTTATGATTGTGTTTGATAAACTTAAAAGAAAGAATCCCACAAACAGCTGTAAGCAACAAACAAAACTTCAGCTCCTATTAACGTTTCAGCACTAGTACATTTTTTCTTAAAAATGATTCTGATGATTAAAACACCTGTAAATGACAATAATGTCACCATCCCTTAATTCAATATAGCTAGAATTCATAATTTCATTTGAGAGTGTATAGTACTTTATAAATATTTATAAATGTTGCTGTATGTGGTGCCAGATATCCATATCCATTTTTTATACAATACCAATACACTACCCAAGTGCCATGTATCACTGCACCATGTAAAACTGTACCACGGCTGTCCCATTGTACACTTTTTGTCCTACAGCCAGAACCATTGTCAATATGGCACAGTGCTGGTCCATTACCATTTATCTAAACTAAAGCCACACAAAATGCTTTCTGTAATGTTTATGGACCAAAATTGCTGCTGGAATGTGAATAAAAGACTGATGTTCAAGCTTTGTCTTGTGTACACAGCTTAATTTTTTCACAGCTTTGTGACTTCCTCAAGTGAGGAGTTGTTTGAGCAGCGTGAGAGCGTGAGACAGAGCCTGAAAGCGAGTGTCTCACGCCAAACATATGAGTTGGCAACCCTGTATAAACACACTGCAATTTATAATACCAATTTAGATCTGGAGACGGCTAGAACAAATGAAGTCTGTTTACTCTTTCTGTCTCCCTCTCTCCCACTTGCTGTCATCCTGCTACCTGGGAGGTGAGTAATGCTGTTTGTGTGGTCTGTCTTAATGTGCTCAGCTCGGTAATCTTCATGTACTTTCAGAGGGATGTTGTCCAGTAATACCCTCCATCTCCATCTGAGAGGCCTGTGGAGAACAGAACAAGTAATGCAATCAGTGGCTCATGTTACTGCCAACAGATCTGGCCTCCTCTCTTGTGAGAAAGCAGTCACAAATCACAACTCCGCTTTAAACTCTGTTCCACTGCAGCCACTCAAATTAGTAAAATGCTTGGCTTCATGCAAAGAGATCAACTCTTGCTTATCTGGCAGAGGCTTGCATATGAGAGAGATGTTTTGCTGTAACTGCCTTTGACATTTAGAAATGGGTGAGATCTTAACCGGGATGCTATAATTCTGTATCATATCAGACAGATGATGCAATCGGGATGTTATGAGCACACAGACTGTAGAGAAACAGACACAGTGTCTGCAGCATCACAAATAGATTTCTAAAGGGACTATCTGAAGCCTGGGGGTTTAAGTCTACGCTTGTTTCATCTGGTCATGTGATCCAACTTTGGGCATAAGGGTTGGAGCCTAAATGGACCTAAGGTGAGGCAAACAAGTGGCAACCATGAGAGTGGACTGTGACAGGCTGCCACACCTGTCAGTCAAATGCCTCAATATTCTCTGAAAAATCTAGTTTCAAGACTACCGCGAGGGCACATTTTAGCATCATGCCAATGTCGACTTTGTATTTCTTGAAGGAGGTTGGGATTTTCCTATTGAAGTCATGTTTTTAAGCGTGAATCCTCTTTTTGTTAAAATCTCGTGCTATCACACAAGCGGCTGATGTGATCTGAAAGGATAAGAAATGTAGCAATGTGCTGGAAAGGAATACTGCAAGCTAGCAAACATGGGTATAAACAATGTAGGTCTCAGATTCTTCCAAGAATCGTCTCAGTCAACATATTTAGGCCTCAAGGACAAACACAATGCATTTTGGTAAGTGCATTAAACATACAAGGTATCTTTAACTTCTATAAGTTATTTGATGAAGGGCATGTTAAGCAACTTCACACTGACAGAAGTTGTCTGCCTTCTGCAGAACATTACGTTACAAAATAGATACACACTGCAGCATCCAGAATGACTTAAGTGGTTCATTTGATCTTTTTGTTAATTGGGGACAAACTAGTTAAATAAACTCCCACAGAGCTATAAACATAATTTTCACCTGATCTCACTGTAGTTTCTCACAAGAGCAACACTGCCTCCAACACCAGACCAGATGAAGTAGTAACATGATTAAACAAAAGATTTTTCACTTTGGGAGAATGCATTTGCAGCGCTGTTTCATATACACAAACACAGTACTTCTTATGTCAGCCCTGCTCTGGAAAACAGCTTGACAGCTCCAACTCACATTCAGTTTATTATCTTTCATTTCTTTCACTTCTGTTTACCTTAAAATAAAAGAGAATATTAGACACACAGTGAATACTGCAGCTTCTGTTCACAATCGACTTATTTGCAGTTTTTGATAACAAGAAAGGGAGAAAACTAATAAATCTGCGCTGACAGCTGAATTCCAGAAATAATTGGAATTTGAGTGCATGCTGTCCTGCTTGATGAAAATGAAATGTCTAACAGTTAATCAGTGACTGTTGGTGTTGGGCAACAGAATGCTAGGTTTTATTCCAAACAAGATTTAAATCTAATCTAGCATCTAATACTACTACTTCCATCTTGTGTATGGTAGTGTTCAGGTGGCCTGTTGGAGCTCGTTAACAGGAAAATTATTCCACCTGATGGATGTGACACTGAGACCAGGTGGCTCATCACAAAATGGCCTGATCAGGGTAAACCTATTTCATAGGTTAAGGCAGATTTTTACATGCTGGAGGCACACGTACACATTTAGTGTGATGATCAGTTTGGATATCATGTTATGTTCACGGGTTGTCCACAGTAGAGGGTGACATGAGAGTGGATTCTCACTCCTGTTCAATTCATGGCGCAGTGGCTAAGACAGATGCCTCTGGTGTTGCAGAACCAGGTTCAGTTCCTGCTGCAACCCTTAGTTGCTCCAGAGGCATGTGACCTCTGACATATATGGCAATTATAAGTTGCTTTGGTTAAAAAGTGTATTTATCCCACTCCTGCAAAAATACTCCCAATCCCATGAAAGATTTTTTTTTAAATTGCTGCCTTATGCTAATCCCGGAAGAATGACTCCCGTCCCATTCCACTCCTTATAAAAATAAACTGAAGATATTGTTATTCATATTAAAACTGCATATTCATAAATAAAAAATAATATGAGCTTTTAATTACATTTCTTTAAATTCAATATAATACACATAACTATGTTTTAAGTGGTGTATAAAGACATTACATAATGATCCGTTATG